TTGTGGAAGGCGCACGTGGGAGGCGGAAAGAGACGAAGGTCGTGCCTCGGTTCATGGTTGGGTAACGTTTTACAGCTAAAGGGGGAACTTGAACCGAATAAGGAAAATGTACATTTTCAGTCCTATCCCAACAATGAATTAGGTGCGAGTGACTCTGCTGGTGCTCTGCCGCAGACTGAAGCTGGCAGCGGCAGCGAGACGGACAGCAGCAGCAGCAGCACAAGCTCGGCATCAACAGGGATTGGCGAGAAATTCCAGAGCCGACTTTTCCCAGAGCTGAACCAATGGACGTGGCTGTGCAAGCGTTTTAGGGCCAGGTTTCGCAGAGGCCTCGGCCGGTCGCTACTGTCCAAAGCCTTCAAACAGGCCGGCCTGAAGCAAGAGACTCAAGTCCTCGGCCCCAGTGCCACGCGCTTCTTTGTGCATAGCGTCAGATCCTTGCCTTGAAGCGAATCTTGAAGATTTTCATGTGTCCAAGTCGAGGGAGATAAGTTAAGCCGGTTTGGATCTGTATACGTTTCCGAACTTTGGAGTCCAAGATCGCTGATTATTTTGCAGCGCAATTCCTGTAGTTTATTTGTCTGTGCGGAGCAAGTTTATGCGAACTGTACTCGACTCAGGCTTCCTGGAACAAAGCCTTCGGCATTTCAGCGTGCGGTTCTGGACGTTGCAGTGGGCGGTTGACATGCCGGCGGTACGAGCAGACCAGAAGCTGAAGCGTGTAGAGGCCAAGCGAATGTTGCGAATGCACTGTAAGATCACGTCGACCTTTGAATCTTATTTGGCAACCGTTCTTCTTCTTCTGTATTTCAGATGCAGGTAAGAGGAGAGCTGTTCAGGGATAGTGAGAGATGATCGGTTTCCCGCCCCGCGTTTCACTGAGGCTGGCCTTGGTCGTCGCCTTGGTAGCCTTCTTGAAAGAGGGATTTGTGCCCGGATGCCTCGTGGTACAGAAAAGCTGCGCCCCGCTCTTCGAGCAACATCTGGCCATTCTCAGAACATGGGGCTTCCTTCTCTCGGTTGCCTGGGGGTCTTGCGGCTACGCCTTCCGCAAATCTCCCAGCACAAACCGCTGTCAGGGAACGCAAGACAAAAGAAAGACAGGACGACCCCACAGGAACCTGAAAGCAGGCTTTCGATGTAATGTATGCGGCCTCATCAGCCCATACCCTATCACCCTGGAGCATGGCCAAAGACACAGCAACAAGGTCCGACGGAGTTTCACAAAAAAAATCCGTCGATATGCTTTCCTCTTCCACCCATCGTTCCACGAGGGAAAGGCACTTTAGCTAGTCACCTTTCGGACGGGCTTGCCGTTAAACGCAATTATGTTTTGTTTTATCATCCCTCCAGGTTGTGTCTCAAAGCCGCATATACCGAGAACGCTTCGTCGGAGGCCGCGAGCCAGATTCACCGAGCACGGTTGAAGAAACCTTGGTGTCTTGGGTCATTGACACATCCCTGCCGGCTGGTCTCGCCTTGGAGGAGCTTATCGGATGGTCGAGAGTCAGCAGTACCATGGCTGGATTTCTTCCGCCTCAGGACGCTCTGTGTTGGAGCAGCGTGTGGCTTTGCAGGCACATGCTGCTTCTTCGTGTGTCAGTCACTGAAAGTTCAATCATTTCGTCATGTTCAGTTAAGTTCGGTCACCCATGGTTCAGTCAACTTTTCCCCAAGCCTCACAACAGCCAGCAGGCGAGCGCCCAACCGGTCTTCCCAAACCTCGATCTGGTAATCGGCTGTCCCAAGACAAGCTTTATCGCTGCACGAAGAACCAGTTGCTGTTCGCAAACCTAACTGATTGCAACCAACAACAAGGGATGCTCAGGGTAGGGTCATGTAGATTTGTGAGATGCATTCCTCTGGCACCCAAATCCGTGGGCAACCCTGAGGCAGAAATGTATCCGACACGTGCGACATTACCCGAAACTGCTTTCCACTTGCTTGGACCTCATGGTGCGTGGCGAGTTTGATGGCTGCAAGCTTGCAGACTCAGGCACGGGGGAATCAAAGTTGGCGAGCGAGATATTGGAACTTTGCTTGTCGGCGTCCAAAAGCATGGAGTTTCGGGGGTGTAAAGTGAAGCAAATTGAATGTGATGGCCGCTCACAGGTGTGTCCAGAGCCGAGACCCTGCGTGATCGAAGCGAAGACGTGTTGCATGGTCTTCTTCAGTGTCAGAGATTTTTCCTGCGACTGACCCGCGACTTCGAGGAAGTGGTCATTGACTCGCACGGAAATCACATCCCGCGTGTGGTCCGGGACAGCGCATGCTTTCTCTTCATGCGACCCATGTGCTGCACAAATCCGCTTCCGGCACAGGAGGACCTAACCATGCGGGAGTACTTGAACATAAGCAGGTCCCTGCAGACAGTGCGAGACTATGTCGCCAATCAAATCACCTGCTTTGCTTTCCCGTCGGCCGACATCATGCAGCTACAGTACCACCGCATGATGGAAGCTTGGGAATTCATAGTACCCATGGAGGAACACTTCGTATGGGAGCAATGGTGGAAGCGGAGCCATACCGAGGCCGCGTACGTTCCGGAAGGCTGTCATGCTGTCTTTTACCTTTATCACCACACTGGTATGATGGGGTATAGCGAAGCATCTGCTGAAAGTGTTGGCAGCGGGCTCAAGTTTTTTGGTCGAACGCGAACGTTGCAGTTTTCCAAGATCCGAGACAGGGTCAGGCTGCAGAACTTGAAGCTCACAGGCCTGCCCGCAGATGACGCTTTCATTACGCGGGTATGGTGCGCTTATTTCGGCGAACAGACTAAGTTCAGGTTCCTGGTGTCGCACAGAGCGACCAAGCAGCGAAAGCGCAAGTTCGCCTTGGGAGCTGGCTCTGCAGCAGCACATCGGCTGATTGTAAAGAGCTTGAAGAGACTCGGCAAGAAACCGGAACACTGATTGTTGTTTGTTTTATGCATTTGTTTGGGTAATACTTCGGGTTTTAGAATTTACAGGACGCCGAAATCTAGATATTGATAGCCCTTTGATTGTCTTTCTTCAAGTCCAAGTCGAGCTTCACAAATGCACTTTTGTGTTGTTTCATCTTCTGAGAATTTTCCTGGGCCCAGGCAAGAAAGCCTCACAGGCAAGGTCCGCAGGTCCAAGCTGGTATTGCGCGGCGGAGCAGCCTGGGAGCGACGCAGGACTCAAGAACGGCAAGGCCAATGAACGCAAAGATTGGCTTCGGAGTTGGGTTCAGCAGGCCATACTCGAAGGGTTCAAAGTTTAAAGTTTGAGAGTCCTTTCATCCCGGCAGGCTGACAAGCGTTTTCGTGGCCTTGGCATTGGCGTGGCTGGGCAAGGTCTCATGTTCCAAAGATTTGGCCTTCGTGTTCTTCTTCGAGCAAATGTGCGCCAACATCGGGCCTCAGGCTAAGGCGCCTGCCGCCCGAGCATATTACACGTCCTTTGGACTTTGGTGAGTAGTCAGCATAGTCAGTCTGTCGTGTATATGACTACAACGCTACATGCTGGCAGATGTACAAACTCATGCCCTTCTCCAGATGCTGCACTCCGCGCCCTGGGGTACTTACTGGGTTGTTGGGGGTAGTCGTGCAGTGCTTTCTGGAGGAGTGCTAGGTCTCCGAGGCTCGGCGACGATACATACTCCCACCTCTTATGGTTGTTAGCTGCTGCTGGGCTTTTCTGTTGGGAGTATGTACTGTCCCTAGGGCCCTTCTTCTTTCAGTTCACGCTCGGACGAGTTCCCTGCCCTGCTGTGCAACATTGTTCAGCTGGGCGGGTGGCAAACAAGGCAAAGATTCCTTCGTTCGGCTGTGTGGAAGTCACAAAAAAGTTGCAGCCAGTCTGCTATAGCCTGCTTGTGAGTGCATCCTGCTGAAGGCCCCGACCCGAAACCTTCTCCTCCACTCTTAAATTTCCAAACTGAGCACGCCCGTTAGCCTCGACCATTGCCTTGGATTCAGAGACCCCTCATTCTAGAGACCTGATAGAACTCTCTCACTCAAGTACCCCTTACGTTACAGTCTATCAGTCCGATCCCGAACCAGTTTGCATACTGACAGCGCTGCAAACAAAGCCCGGCACCCGGGAGCAAAGCAGAAGACCCCGAAACTCCCAAGCCAATGTGGGTTTGATGGTACTTATTTGGGTTGACAGCTTAGGGTTGAGGTCTTGCTGTCCATGGGCTTCTCACCAGCTTGGTTCCTGAAAGTCGCCTAAGACAGGCAAGGCACAGGCATTTCGCGTCGCTTGCAGCCCCCGCTCTCGTATAAAGGAGTGTGTTATCGTATTTCAAAGCCTTCAACTTCAGGGCCTTCAGGGACTTGAGGATTCAATTAGACCGCTCAGTGCAAGTCATTTGTCTGCCCTCTACGTATGACAGATGACGTGTTTGCGCAACTCAGGATATTAGCCATCGTTACGAAGTGCTGATACGAGCTCGACACAGACGCAGAGTCGAATGAAGAGGCTGGAGATGTGGGGCAGTGAGCAGTGAGCCAACATACATCTGCCGGTTGCCGTTGCTTGTGAGTTGGCGTCCATTGCCCATTGTAGCAAATCCCTTCGGAGTCCAGGTGCCTTTCTTCTGGAAAATCTCCTTCTGCGCAGAAGACAGGGACGACCTGTGGCTGTTTCCTTCCTGGCTGCACCACTTGCTGGCCCCGGAATCCCCAGACAGATGCACGATCCAGCGTCAGTCGGTGCATGTGCCTCCTGCCTGGGTGCAGGGCGTGCTCCGAGGCCCAGGGGTCGGTCCGAGCAAAAGTATCCGGATCGCAAGACCCAGCGTCGTCGCCTTCGGCAACATCGTACTGCAACTGCTTTCAGCCTTCTTGTGCGACGTGCTTCCCAGCCGGCCCAGACACTGATGCTGAAGTGTCAGGGATGAGTACTCGTCGTATTATTGGTCCAAGCAGGCCCGGCTTGGATGGGTGGGCTGAATGGGCTGTGCGTACTCTCGGTGCTGAGGTGCACAATACGTGGAGCATAGGTTCCCTTTGCTCTGGTCTTGGCATGGATGTCATGGTAGTTGATGCCTTGAACAAAGCTCTCGGTGACAGAGGCCTCCATGGCAATGTCAGGCATGTTTTTCAGGCTGAGTTGGACAAGGAGAAGAGGTCATACCTCTTGAAGCAGCTTGGTTTGAATGATTCCCATGCACATGCTAACCGTTGCTCACCTCGATTCCTGTCATTGACGCTGGTGGCCCAGGCACCAACAAGTTCCTGCAGTCTTCGGAGATGTGTGCGAGGTTGCCACCGGGTCGTCATTTGAGCACCGGACGTGTCAGTCTCTGCAAGTACCTGGTTGTGATATTCTTGTGGCAGGGTACTCATGCAAGGATCTGTCCGGCCTGAATAACAAACCAGCTGCGATCCATGATACTTCACGAGGGTCAGGTCAGACTTTGCAAGCCGCTCTGTCATACGTCAGTCGCTATGAACCGGCCATCGTCGTCTTGGAGAATGTCAAGACTATGTACTGCGTCCGCTCCATGGACCAGGGTCAGAAACCTATGGCGTACCTCACAGCGCAGATGAAGTCCAAGGGCTATGTCGGCCCGGCTCCTCAGATGCAGCCAGAGGCACGAGTGAGAGCAGACTGAAATGTCCAGTGGTTTGCGCGTGCACAGATTCGCAGTGCGCGCCTCTGAAATTTAGGAACCGCAAATGTTGCTCAACAGCTTCGACTTCGGGCTTCCTCAGTCGCGGCCACGTGCCTGGATGGTTTTTTTCCACACTGGAAAGGTAAAGGGGGCGGAGACACTGGTGCAACGTCTTCCTGACCGAGTTTGCTCGCTTCGGCATCAACCACGTCCCCTGAAGGAAGTGCTTGCTGACGATGAAATGGATGTCGTGTCCGACTTCGCCTTCGTGACAGCTTCAAGCCCTGAAGTCCAGGATGCTCTACTCCAGGCAAAACACTCAGGGCCCAAGTGGGTGGACCTCCTGGCTGCCTTCATGGAAGAACACCAAATTTCAGAGCAGGAGTTGGGCCAGAAAATTGCTGAACTGTACCGGACACTGACTTCAACCACCTTGACCTCGATGCCAGCATCTTTCCGGCAATTCGTCGGTCGGTAGTGGCACCTTCCAGCACAGTCATTTCAACTTTCAACGGTAGGATTTCGTGCATATCGACTCGGACTGCAGAGGTGCGTGAACTCACTTTGCTGGCGTGCCAGCATATCTTGGTGCGACGTCGGCATGAAGATCCCATGGATTATGTTTTCCAGCTGAACATGTCACTCGAGCCTTGGAGAAAAGAAGTAATCAATCTGTTGTGGTCGACCGGTGGACCATCCTCTGTGTAGACCCATCCAAGGACAGGAATCGTATTGCGAAACATTATTGCCCATGTGTCGTGCCTTTCGGCAAGTTTCTTTGGCGTAGCAAGCTGTTAAATGGCTCTGACTTCCTTGCTTTACAGGGTTTGTCTGCTGCAGATGTACAGCGCCACGGCTTGCACACTGTCAGTTCCCGCATGCAAAAAGACATGGCAGGAAATGCTTTCAGTGCCACTGTATGCGGCTCTGTTTTGTTATCTTGCATCGTCCTTGTAGAGCAAGCTGATAAGAGTTTTGAACTCCAGCGGCTGCGTTGAGGTCAAAAAGGTTGCAGCCAGACTATTTGTGCATCCTATTGAACTCGACCCGAAACCCTCTCCACAACCTTGCAACCCATGGGTTTAACTACTTTGGGGGCACGTCGGTTCCGGCAACCCTGCTTGTCCAAACTCCAAACATCCCCAAAACAATCTGCGCTGACCCCGAAACCCTAAATGCGATGGGTTTAGGGCATCAAGCTTTGTAACACTCTTCTAGCACCCCCCTGCTATAGAGCCCTTATGGACCCCTCTGCCATAGATCCCTTACAGAATCTCTAACCCCAATATCCTTTACTTCAGGAACCTACCTTACTTGCAGGGGGCTTACTTCTGCTGGTGTATAAAGACAATGTAAGAGCCTTTGAGAACGATAGCCGAGCTGATATTCCGTAGCTAAGGGTATTGGGCTTTCTGCGGACCAAGCGACCCCAACAACCCTAAAGGGAACTCCAGAAAGTTGGAATATGGTTTCAGGGTAGGATACCGTATAATTTACCATAAAGGGTTTAGGATAATCATATTCCAACTTGCTGGCTTTTACTTTAAGCCCTTCATGCGACACTCGTGAAAATTCCTTTGGAAGGGCAGGTCTTTCATGGTCCAGGTAAGCCCTAAATCCCAAGCCCTACACCCGAAACACTTCAATCGTATACAACCTTTGTAGATCCAAGCAGCTTACTTTCCTGAGGATACTTATTATGATTTCCTAATCGAGGTCTTCAAAACGTTCTAGATCCCCCCAAAACATCAACCTAAACCTTTAAATCCTCCACAACCCTTATAGACCCTTTAAAGCGACCTGACCCCTTCAATGCAAAACAACATTTATAGATCCCTTTACAGCAACCCTAAACCCTAAACCCCTAAACCTTAAATCCCTAAACCCTAAACGAACCCCTGCTTAAGCCCCTATGCCCTTAAACCCTAAACCCTTAAACTCCTAAACCCGAAACGCACCCCTAATTGAGCCCCTAAACCTCTAAACCTTAAACCCAAAAGGATCCAGTTAAAAAGAAACCCTATTCTGATCATGTAGGCCCCTCTACCATAGAACCCTGCTATAGACCCCTTTAGAAGGAACCCTTTTTACGGGAACCCTAAACGAATCCGAGGCTCGCCAGCTCCGCCCAGCGCCCCCCGGACCAAAGCGCGGCGGCGCGCGGGAGCCGCACAGAGAGGCGTGGAACGTTTGTTTGGGATCTAGAAAAGGGACCTTAACGTTCAGGTATTTAGGGACTTTAGGGTTTAGGGTTCGGGGTTTAGGGTTTAGGGCCTTTGTAAGTAGAATAATTAAGGTTTCGGGCTCCTTTAGAGTATGATTATGGTAGTGAATCCTAAGTAGCAGCTGTAGCAATACTGGTAAGTGTAACCTCTACTGAGGTATTTCTCTAAATCTGGGTCCGTTTTTTAGGGTCCTTTTATGCACCTATTCTGCGGACCTTAGAAGGGGTCCTAGTTTGAAGAACTACCCTTCAGGATTCGTTTTACATATATATATACATATATATATATATATGTAAACTTTTATACACATAAACTTATACATATGCATATACATATACACATGTTACATAAACATATACATACACATATACATACACATATACATATACATATGTGTATATATATACACATAAGATCTCGGATGCTCAGAGATTCCAATCGCCCTTTAATTAAGGAAATTACCGCAACCTATAGAGAGATGTTGTGAGTCTAGCAGGTGTTTGTCGGGATATGATCAATAGACTGTCATTTGTACAGGGATCCTTACTATGATTCAAGGTATATTTCTAACTTAAGGGCTTGTCGGAGTCACTTGAAGGATGGCAGGTTCTCGAAAGTATGGTCCGTTCTTGGGTTCCCTTGATCATACAGCCCCTGGGTAGCTCAGAAAAGGGATCATACCCCCTTACAATACCTCTTGAGCCGACCCTGGGAAAAACCAAGGCGTTGAGAAGGTGGTCACTGCAACGTGCGAAGTGCCTGTACGTCGTGAAGTACTTTTTCGCGACTCCCGAGTAACCTAGGGGCCTAAGCAATTACCAATACTATTTTGGGGGTTCCTTATTGTGAATATAGTAGAATGGGCTCCAAAACCCTATTCTAATTATTATGGCCCCTATATTAGCTGATCCTGGAGGCAAGGTAGCAGCATGGCTTTTGCCAGTGTTGGTGAACGGGGCTTTGTGCTGCAATCTGCTGCATCATATCTTCCAGAGCAGTGCGACGGAGACCTCTGGGAAACTATGTTCAGCACATTGCACGATGGCGAAGTTCGGCCGCGAGATGAACCAGATCCGTCAACTGACAGCAAACGTCGACTCGAGAACAACACCAAAAAGCACGCCTACGGGACGTAGCGGTGCCAGTAGATGTTCAAACCCTAAGCCCAAAACCCCCAACCCCCTAAACCCAGCCCTAAACCCAAAACCCTCAAACCCAAAGCCCTTAAACCCTAAACCCGTAAACCCGAAACCCCAAACACTGAAACCAAAAGCCTTGGGGAAGTAAAAAACAGCCCCAAGCACCCCCTTAACCGGTTTAGGGTAAACCTACGTCCCAAAACCCCATCCCGAAACGCTATCCCTACAGCTCTGAGCCCCTTAATTCCAGCCCTAAACCCGGTCCGGAAGATGATCCTAAACCCTAAACCCTCTACCCCTAAACGCTAAACCCTAAACCCCTAGACCCTATAACCCCAAAGCCCTGGACCCGAAACCCTAGATGGGCGTTTCCGAAAATAGGGGACCCTAATTCAGTACCCCAAATATAAGGACCCCGGCACAAGGTACCCCTGATTTTCGGAAACTCCCTAAATCCCAGGAGCGAAGTTGCAGCACCTCCGCCAGCACCTCTAAGTCCCATCTCTCTGGATGTGACCTTGTCTGGAGCCTTGGCCCACGCAAGGCGTTGTCCTAGTTACAGGTTTGTAGAGTTCCTTTCAGAGCCTTTTTTTTGAAGGGTTCAGGGCGTAGGGTTGAGGACTTCTTTTTGGGGTTCCCTTGAAGGGATTCTTACATGATCCTACTATGTTTCAAAGGGTTAAAATTTTTGGCAGGCTCAGCCCCCGAGGTTGCAGGTTTAGAGTTCCTTTTCAGAGTTCGTATCAGATGGGGGTTGTCAAAATTAGGGTCCCTTTTGGGGCCTTATTATTATAGCACGGCACCTAATATTCAGGGTGCCCAGAAGGGGACCCTCATTTTGACAACTACCCACATATCTATGTCCTTAGGCCGGTGGCTCAGACTTTAACTTTTCGGTTTTGGGCTCTGTTTTTTTGGGCTTTAGGGTTCCGTTTTTGTGTAGCACTGTCTATCATAAACTTCTTTAACGCCCCGTGCAACCGCAAAAGACCCTTGATGACCTTATAAAGGACTTCTCTACAACTCCCAAGGAGTGTCGATTCAGCTGCTGCGCACACGGCTGGCTGCGCGCGAGGGCCGCTCAGAAGAGGCCGCACAAGGGAGTTCTACATGGAGGACCATGGGACATAGTAGGTAAGGCCATAAATGAGGTAGCGAACTATCGTTACAAGTACTTATATCTCAATTCCAGTGCTTATAACTTTTCTTTCTAAGTCCCATGATCCTAAACCTTAAACCTTAAACCCAATCAGCCCTAAACTTAAACCCTAAACCCAACAAACCCAATAAACCCAATAAACCCAATAACCCCAATAAGCCCAATAAGCCCAATAAACCCAATGAATGCTAAACCCTAAACCCAATAAACCCTACACCCTAAACCGTAAACCCTAAACGTGCATAAGGATCGTATACCCGCCTTATACCGACTGAGGGGTTGTTCCCGTGGGCTCCATCGGAGGTATATTCCCTAAGGGTCCATGTACCAGTATAGTAGGTACTTAGGCCTTAAAGGGGTCCCTATTTGGCTACTTTAAGGCCTACATGGAGCCTTTGGGATTAGGGTCTATGCCCTTTTCGGGTTTGGGGGATTTAGGGGTTTGGGGTTTAGCGTTTTGCAGCATGTGTTTATCAACGCCGTGGATCAAAGGGCTTCAAGGGTGGGATGAAGGCAGCTGGGGTAACCCTAAGATAAGAGTCCTCATATAAGGGATCCTTAATCCTACCTACCTTCATCCCACCTTTTGAGGCCTCCAAATGGATTGTTGAGGTGTACATAAGTACACGGAGCCCAGACTTGCTGTTTTATAGAAGAGCCATACTCAACTCATGTTGTCGAAGGTTTTGCTGGCCAGAAGCTGTAATCCCTGTACCCGCAACCCTGAAGCCTATACCCTGCACTTCAAACCCCACTACCTAAGCCACACTAGGGAAAATTGCCTCCTTCAACCTTAGCGCGGGCACAGGTTCCACATCGGATGGATTCAGGGCGGAAAGGTTGAAGGTTTGGGGTTGGGGGCTCAAAGTTGCCAAGGCGGTCTTTTTGCTCACCACAAGCCCTCGAAACCCTAAACCTATATTTATAAAGGTTAGAAGTTAATGAAGGCGCTCGA